TAATAAAAATCTAGAAACTCAAACCAGTTCTGTCTATTAGTAAGAGGATGAAAAAATTAACTTCAGACAGAATACAATAATAAAAATCTAGAAACTCAAACCAGTTCTGTCTATTAGTAAGAGGATGAAAAAATTAACTTCAGACAGGATACAATAATAAAAATATAGAAACTCAAACCAGTTCTGTCTATTAGTAAGAGGATGAAAAAATTAACTTCAGACAGGATACAATAATAAAACTCTAGAAACTCTAAGTGACTGTAGAGTTAATTTTAACTTTGGAACAACTACACAGTAACAGAAACAATCTACAAAGATTTCTAATTGGATTAATGTGTTCAAAAGAAAAACATTGTTACAAATGAAGTCTTGTTGGTTTTTAAAATTGTAAGCTTTATATCTAAAATCCATAATGTTTTGTTATAAATTAAATATAACTGCCACTATTCCAAAGAGCATTAAACACTTGTTCTATCTATACTTTCACTTAAAAAATGACCGTAAAAGGAACCGAATTGTGTCATCTGAGAAAACGGACTTGTACATCAACAGTCTCATGGGTATCAAGAAGATGTCAAGTGTGGTAGTATGCCGTAGCGTGACTAATTATGCCATTACCGACTGTCGAGATTGTGTGGCTTTAATTAAAATTTTATATAACTTACATTTATTGCGTCGTGGCTTTATTATGTTAAAACAAAGAAATAAAAACACAGCTCGAACAAATTACATAAAACTTGCAAAAGCTACATTTCAAACCGCAAACGATACACATTTGCCATCAGGTCTGTGACGTAAAGTTCTGTAGTTTCTCCAAATAATACTGTCAAGAAAACAAACAGAGTACATGTAAACACGAATTACATATATAGAGTGCCGAATCATCATCAGTTACAAAATATATGAATGTGTATCTACAATATCAACCAATTCTAGAAACATTTATGTGAAAAATATAGATGGAATTTTCCTCAAACATATACATTAAACTGTTTTAACATTTTCTCAGTAGTGATGCTTTTTGGTGTAAGAAGTTTATTTTATGGAAGCATCTCTTAAAATTTAATATGTTCCTATCGAATTTGGTAGAGAATAAAAAAAATACTTAAAACACACAATATTTTATCTCCAAATCAGTTTCCACCTGGAGTTAAAAACGACATAGTGAGCGCTCTTACCATTTGAACTGTCACCAATAAATGTGGGAATTTCAACCAAATAAAATCATACAATTGTTTAACTAACTGTACATCTTTCTGACAGGCTTTTCATTTAAATATTTTTCCACAACTAAAGTCTCCTCATTTCTATTGCTTCTTTCTGCTTAAAATAACATTTGTAAGAAAGTTGGTTTGCTTAAGTATTTTCTAGTCAAAATAACAAAACGTGCTTCTCCAATTTATTAATAAAAAGGAAACTAGATAAAATGACTAAAAATTAAAACTTTTTAAATTTAATTATGTGTTTAAATATAAAACTAAACCTTTGGTTCTTGACATTTTTTCTGATATTTCAATATTTAAATAGAGAACGCCAAACGTATTCCTGTGTTCACCGTTTTTTTTTGTTGTTTTTTTTTTTTTATGAGCTAGAAGTTTGTGGCCAATACGAGAGACATTACTGTCTATATTTTGTCAAGCTGCATCATGCATGTACAACATATTTCCAAGTTTAAGAAATATATTGTGATTCTATGTGGTTCTATGGCACTCTGTGCTGTCTTATATTTTGTATCACAATTTTTTTATTGATTTACTTACAGGTACAATAAGACGTGTAACACCTCATCCTATGCGCAATCGAATCACAATCGATTACCTCTGTTGAGACAGTAAAACCGCTCGCCAGAAAGAAGGAATTAAAAGATTCATGATCGATTACCTCTGTTGAGACAGTAAAACCGCTCGCCAGAAAGAAGTAATTAAAAGTGTCGGATTCATGATCGATTTCTTTTCAAGATTCGGAATTATTCATCCTGAAAAGATATGGAGAGATCTTCTTTAATTGCATAAGCGTTTAAAAAGATCACTGGAACAGTATGCTGGTGTAGAAATTGATGTTTATCTTTGGTTATGTCGTAAAATGATGGAATGTTTTAAAAACAACGTCGCCACAAGTTGTAACAAACCACAGAGTGAAGCGGAGAACCAAACCATCTTTGCAGATTTGCCCAAATTAAACCATAATAACTCTTTCCTTGATAATTTCAATACATTATTCCATATTGCTTCCTATATTTTCAAACATATCATACACTTTGACTGCATTCCACCTTAAATATTATGCTGGTTCATAAACTATCAAGGAGTTAAACCTATACAGCGCAAGTTTAAAGTTTGCAGCATTAGGAATATCAAACAAAATTGTTAAAAGTAAATGAAAATCAAATTTATTTTCCTTTACATAAAATTCAACAAACAACAAGCATTCTGAAACATTGGAAAGATGATTTTGGGACATATATTGATAAAGATTAGGAAGCTGAATAATACTGAACTCGCCTTTCATTTATCAGTGTATTGTTTTTTAGAATCGTTAAGTATTACAATAAGTCGTCATAATCTGTTGCCTTTATTATTGATCGTATTGAAGTTCAGGGTCGTTAATTCTTATAGTGAGTCTTCTACTTCGTTATTGGTCGTACTAAAGTTCAACATCGCTAAGTCTTACAGGAAGTCCATAACTTCTCTTACCTTCCTTGTTGGTCGTATTGAAGTTCAACATCACTAAGTCTTAAACGAAGGTAAGAGAAGTTGTAGACTTCCTGTAAGACTTAGCGATGTTGAACTTTAATACGACCAACAACGAAGGTAAGAGAAGTTGTAGACTTCCTGTAAGACTTAGCGATGTTGAACTTTAATACGACCAACAACGAAGGTAAGAGAAGTTGTAGACTTCCTGATTGGTCGTATTGAAGTTCAACATCACTAAGTCTTACAGGAAGTCTACAACTTCTCTTACCTTCGTTATTGGTCGTATTGAAGTTCAACATCACTAAGTCTTACAGGAAGTCTACAACTTCTCTTACCTTCGTTATTGGTCGTACTAAAGTTCAACATCGCCTAAGTCTTACAGGAAGTCTACAACTTCTCTTACCTTCGTTATTGGTCGTACTAAAGTTCAAAATCGTTACATCTTTCAGAACATATCTATTTTCTGTTATCTTCCTTCGTTATTGATAATATTGAAAGAAAAAGCATAGTTTTTCTTTATTTTTACTGTATAGAGCATACGGTAGAACCATGCGGATTGTAAAGGTTCTTAATTTTGAGTTTAATATTTTTATTAGACACGTGTATAAAAGCAGCAAGCATCACATTATGAAATTTGTTGAATTTAGGGATTTCCTGATAATTTGTTAATTCTTACACTTGGTATAAAATATTGATTATTCTTTATAAACTTATAATTATTACAACAATCATTGAAATGATCAGAAATAAGATAAGTCAGTGATCGTGGAAACTGTAAACGTGAAGGTGTTGGACATAATCATATAAGTTAAAAGTGTTAATATAAAGACATTTCCCTCAGAAGTTTTTAATAGATGTTGATCTTATGAAAGGTACCACAATGGTCCTCAATTTCTTATCCCACCCTCGACGTCTCTACCAATCACTAATTATTTAACCCATTTCATTGTAAAAAAAACAGAGAGAAATAAATGAATTAAAATCTTAGTAACATGATATTTTAACTAATACATGGGTAATTCATTTCCGAATAATTTAGTATAATCATGACACTGGTGAGTTAAAAATAATATTTAACATTGAAATGTATTGCAAAAAATGTAACAAACACATTACGTTTATCTCCGTTACAACAATGGTTAGGTACCTAATGAAAAAAAATAATTTTTGGAAAAGTAAGTTTCCTCAAACGTTCCTCTAACTAAGGTCTGGCACGGACTGGTGATTAAGGCGTTCGATTCGCAATCTGAGGATCGGGGGTTCAACTCCCCGTCACCGAACATGCTTGCTCTTTCAGCCATAGAGGGCGTTAAAATGTAACGGTCAATCCCACTATTCGTTGGGAAAAGAGTAGCCCAAGCGATGGCCGTGGGTGGTAATGACTAGCTGCCTTCCCTCTAGAGTATCACTGCTAAATTATGGATGGCTAGCGCAGATAGCCCTCGTGTAACTTTGCACGAAATTCAAAACCAAAAAACGTTCCTCTAGCATGCAATTATTATTATGATCCAAAATTCTTTACTGTCCAGGTCTTAACGCTTGATAAGATTGACACTGTATATATTTAAGTCACTGTTTGTCTACACTAAACTCCCTTATGTAAAAAACACTAAAACCTTTTTTTTATAATTTCACTATTTCCCACAAATTGTCCAAATTCATATGTTTATGTAGTTTTTGAAAGTTTTGTTGGAACATTTATATTTTACAAAAACATCACGATAAATGTTTATGGTATTCAGAATATTTCCAATATCATATTCAAGTGTCTACGAAAAAAATAACCAACTAGATATCGGTTGCTTATTCTTGTATAACATGTTAATTTCCTATTGCACTGCAATGCAAATCCATAAACATATTGTTGTGGAGTCTAACAAATTACACCGCACACAAAAAAGATAATTAGTACTTATAATATTTTATGCATAACAATACAAAATCGCCTTTATAAAATAAGGTCAATAACCCTTTCCATCGGTGCATGTTTATGTAAATCTAGCAACTGATGACCGTCATGCGATCTGAAATAAAAGTGATTGGTCAGGCAGCTTACAATGATT